AGCTGCATTAGGGGAAGCTTGCTGCGGAGCCCTTGCTGGCTTGCGTCCGCCTGTCTCGCAGATGGCTTTGAGGGCTCTCACTGTCCTGCGCACCTGTGTGATCCGTGTGCAGCTCCTGCCTCTGCGTGCTGGGAGGTCTGATCCACGGGCTTACAGGGGCTGCTGCAGGCCGGGAGGAGGAAAATATTTCTAATATTTGATGTCTAGGTGATAAAAGCGAACATCTTGGTTTACTGTAGGAATGGTTTAATTTAGCTATGCTTTAGCAACAATAAGCTTCTCCACTCAGTTGTGAGCACTTAATTATGGTTATCTTTGGGTGTTAGTGACTTAGACTGGAGACAGACAAGAGAAGTTTGTTGGATGGGTAAATGGCAGTGCTGAGCCACTCCTGTCCACTGATTTTATTGTGTTCTCTGAGCCCTTCATTTTATTTTCACAAATAACTGACTTTCTAAAAAGGTAAATCAAATATCGATCAACTATCATGTGTAGTATCACAACCCTTACTTTTTATATCAGAGACAAATCATACTACTGATACAAATTATGTTAAGAAGGAATTAAAACTGGTAAAAATACCAAAAAGATATGAACGCAAGCAACTATTGATATTTCTTTTTGTGAAATGTCAACTCTTTGACTTTGGCAGAATATTGCATCAAGAAAGTAAAAAAACTGGTTTCCATTATTGTATCTTTTTAATTTTAGACAAAAATTGCTTCCATTCCCAACTTAATTTTATGTCACTAATGGGAAATTTACCTACAATTGCATTTTGTTATTTGGTCTGAATGCATTACGCAGAGAGTGGATTGGCACTCTGTATTTTAGAATGAACAGATTTGTCTGGATATAAACAGTTTTATTTATATTGTGCTCAATTCAATCATGTTAACATTTGTATGAATTTCAACTCCAAAATAAAGGCCCATAATTTGTGACTCAAAGACCTTGAAACTGCATCTATAATAGTCTTCAACACCAGGCATTTTCTAACCGTTTGCAGATGACAGATTCCATGGTAATAGTAAAGATGATTTGGGAAGCAGTGCTGTCTGAAATGGTGCTCTGTGGAAAGCCGTGTTTTCCCTGAGAAGTCCCAGGTGTAGCTGGCTCTTCGGTCTTGGGGTTCATTGCCTGTTCACTCAGTAGCCTCGCTTGTTCCTTTGCTTGACACTCGGTGCTGAGGCCTGCGACGGGTGACGGGGAGCTGTGGTCCTGCTCTGTGGTGCATGAGCACGTTCTTAGGCTGAGAAGAGACAGGGTCAGCCCACAGACTTCCAGAAGGGCCCTCAGTCCTGGTCCTGGCTGTCACCTTCAGAGGTTCTTGACACGCCCCTGTCCTTTGGTCTTCAGCCCACTTCCCGGTGGTGCGCCAAGCCTGGGCCTCACAAGGATGAGCCCTCACAGTTCCCAGAAGCACTATGTAATCTGTAAAGTAACGTGACGGAACACCGAGGTGGGGTAAGCTTCTTACGGTCACAGACTGAGTGAACACTGTCCCGGTGCAGCCATGAGAGAAAGCAGCAGATCAGTGGCTCAGTCAGGGTTGAAAGTGCTCTCAGGGCTGACTTCGCAGAACATAGAGACCTCAGGGTGGGCATGAGAGTGACATGTGTTCAGAGAAGAACAGGACTGTCCATGCAGTAAGGATCTGTGCGCTGTGTGAGACTCAGGTGGCATGTGAAAGGCTGTGGAACGTAAGCAGCAGTAGCTGTCCCACTGTGTAGGCTGGGGTTACATTACTCACACAGATTGTGACATTGGAAATGTGTGTCAGACACAGCAGCACCGTTGTAACCAAGAGCCCTGTGGTGTGTTAGGTGTGGTCCCCGGTGGGCACAGGGCAGTCTTCCGGGACGCTGGGCAGGCAGACAGTGAGAGTCTAGGGGGACAGACGTGTCCTCATGGTGCTGTCCTGGAGCCTGCTTATAAAGGGCGGGGCTGCTAAGGAGCAAGGGCAGAGATGAGTAGTAGAGGAGAGGCTGGGCACAGATGATGTGAAGTCCTCCTTCGTGATTCCAAATAAACAAGGGCCTCTGTGGGCACGTGCGGCAATTAAAGACCAACAGGTAGTGAAATCATAAAAAACTCCCTAGTCAATATTTTTTGAGAGAAATCAGTTATATGTTCTCTTTAAGAAGAATTTTACAGGTCTAGGTGACAACTGCAGAGTTGTTGAGAGTCAGTTAGAGCCATGCTCTGCGCCAGGGCTCGGCAGTTAATGCGTGCAGCATTCCCATACAGACCAGGGCTTTGTCTTCCCACAGTAGAGCTGGGGACTGATGTTGGAGAAGTTCAGTACCTTGCTAGAGTCACTCATTTTAAAAGGTGGAGGAGCAGGTCATGATCGGAGGCATTTTTACTTGGATGTCTGTGTTCCTATCCCTAGTCAGCATGGGGTCCTGCTTCCTGGTTTGATTTCCTTAAGTAACATTTGACTATAACTCTAAGTTCTATTTGTGTCCTTTTTACCTGGGAAGGAGGACTCTCTTGAGGATGTGTTGTAAGGAAGATGAAGCCATGAGACAAAGACCCTGCTTGCAGGGACAGCTTGCTATTTACAGAGCCTGTCTTGCCCCCGCCTGGCTGGGAACATAGCCCTCCAGCACCCCAGCCTGCAGATCCCCTGCAAGGCTGAGCTGAGCATAGATCGGGACTTCCAGGACAAGCTTGCTAACCGGTGTCGTGCAAGGAGGAGCAGCCTACTAAGCCCCCTTGCCTGAGAAAATAGCATCAACGGCTCTCTTCCAAGATGTGGCAGCCGTGCCCGAGCAGCTGCTCTGTGTGGAGGTATTAAGTGTTGGGAGACACCTGTGTGTGTCTAATTCCAGCCCAAACAGCCTCCTCCTGGCTCCCCAAGGTGGGCAGAGAACGCCTGAGTGGAGATGTCTATCTGCAGGGGAGAAGTTGGTCTGTCATTTCCTGTACAGATGCCTCCCCTCCGCTTTTATAAAAAAAAGGAAGGTATAATTCGCACACAGTAAAGAGTGTGCATGCTAAATGCTTGATGGTCTGATGAGTTCTGACAGTTTTTATGCCCATGTAGCCGCCAGAGAGTCCGTGTGTCCCTTTGCAGTTGAGTCCCTTTCTCCCTTGGACTTTGCTCGGTCCCTGTGGACTGGTGGCCTTGCCCAAGCTTGAGTGTGATGGGAGTGGAATCTCAGGACGGTGCCTCAGGATTCTGTCCACCCCGCTGTGTTGTGGGCTGGCCCTTCGCAACCACAGGAAGGCCCCCTACTCCAAGGGAGTGGGTGTCCTCCAGGCTGTCACCTCTGTGTCTTTGTAGACAGAATGACCCACAGATCTGCCTCTGCTTGCCTACAGGAGGGTGCAGTGCCAACCCTACTTCCGCCCTCTGTCCTCTTACAGTAAGGAATCAGCCTTTAGGACACGGTCAGCTTCAACTCCATCATGGAAGGTCATGGTGGGTTTTGGAAGGAAGTTACAGTTGTGAGTGATTTTCTTAGAAAGGGAGCGTGGCAGATGCATTGCCTGCGCCTCTGTAGTAGCGGCCGTGCCAGGAGCGAGGGAGCCAGCAGGCTGAGGACTCTGGCATGGGTGGGCTGTGCCGCGGGTGGACGCGCGCTTCATGTCCACTCCACGTTGTCCTTGTCACCAGCACAAATGGTGGGAGACTGTCCCCACCAGAACACAGCTTTCCTGGCAGGCGGAGCCGGCCTCCGGGAGCCAGAACTGCAGACATACGGCGCATGAATGAGAGCTGTGTTCCTTGCCTGGGTCTGCGTCCAGGCACTATTTATACGCAGCATATTCAGCACCAGATTGTTCAATCTTAATACTGAAACAGTGCATCATTTTAATATTTTTGTTCTGTTTATTCCCTGTTTTCAAGCATTATGTGAACATTGCACAGTCATTGATTTTGTCTTGGGCAGGATGTGCCCTGGCCACACAGTTCATTTCCTCTGGTCGGACTTCTGTCCGTGGCTGTTAGGCCGCATGTCTGGCTTGGGCAGACAGGTGTTTTGTCTCTTGAGGAACATGTGTAAAGAACAATGCAGTTGGACTTACCTGTATTGTCAAAAATAAAAATGCTCTTTCCCTTGTATCTCTACAACATAACTTTTTTATACGTGACGTGTTGTGACACCCTGCGGACTGCTGGGGTCTTCACAGCATAGTGATAAAAGCTTTGTTTGTCTGTGTCAGGCGGGAGAGGAGTTACTATTTGTGCTCACACTGTTCCCTGTTGGTGAGGACCATGCCGTGAACATGGCCGCGTGTTCACTGCATGTGCAAGGCCTCCTCCCAGGGCCTCTCTGAGCAGGGTGCCCTTGACCGCGCCGCTCTGCAGAGCCTGACTTTGACCTAGAGTCTCACTCTGGCCTTTCTCCTGTAAGCTCACCTCAGGAAGAAGGCAACTGTTACCAGTGTAAAAGCAACCCAAGTACAGAAGGAGAAGAGGAGCCAGAGGCATCTAGCCTCTTTTGGTTTGGGGTCCATGTGCTCCTGCCTGTGGCCCCAGAAGCAGCCCCTGTAGCCAGGGAGGTGGATCTAGGGGTGAATCCAGGGCCCTGCACCCTGGGAAGCTCACCACGGGCAGAGGTGGACTGCGTGCTGAGCCCACACAGAGGAATTTTCTTGTTCAATTCAAAACCAAATCTCATATTTACTTGAAGCTTTTTTTTTTGGTCTATGAAATCAGCAGTCCTGTATATTTAGCATCAGTCTTAACTTAGACTGTGAAACAAGACTTTGGGGGAAGGAAGTATCCGTATGGTTTCCTCAGTAATTTAAGAAACAGGAAAACATAAAAGGAACCGATTGTCCGTGATTCAGCCTCGTCCTTCTCATTCCCCTCTCCTGTCGAGCTGGCTGCTCCGTGTCACCTGACAGTGACCACTTGCTGCCCTGTCGTAAAGCTCCAGGGGGGCCTTGACGGTCGGTGGAGTGACCTCCTTGACAGTGGACAAACAAGGGAAGGGTTCATAAATAGCAGCTCTGTGTTTATGATGTTTTTCTTCCCTGTGCAGGAATAATCAAGCTGGGGCGCTGGAACCCTCTCCCCCTCAGTTATGTGACAGACGCGCCCGACGCCACCGTGGCCGACATGCTACAAGATGTCTATCATGTCGTGACGTTGAAAATCCAATTACAAAGGTGGGTGTTTCTGAACATCTGCCTCTCCGAGCTGCTCCACGATCAGGGATTCGCTGCAGAGATCAGCATGTCCCGTCTTCAGTAATTTCTAGACCTTGATGAAGGGAGGAGGGGAAGGGAGGGAAGGGCGAGGGCAGGAGGCTCCGCAGACAGCTTTACGGCCCACATTCCAGGAGTTTATGCTTTGTTTTCAGAGCGGTGAAGTCACTGTCCCAGGCCCTGGGTGGTCGTTGCAGCTCTGCCGGGGGTGGAGGGGCTTCCCTCTGCCCCACTAGTGGTCGAGGAGGCGGGTGCAAAGCTGCCAGTGTGGGGAGGGCGACGAGCTCCTCGAGGCCTGCCGCCCTGGGTCATGGTGTGTGGGGTTGGCTCCTGCAGCAGATTCACCAAGAACGCGCTGGCCTGGGGTCTGTCCTCCTCTGTTGGCGAACGCCATGAAATGCACGCTGAGGGACAGAGATACCAGGACTGGCCCCCTTCCTAATCGGATGGCCAGAATGGGGCACTGGAAGAGAGCTCAAGGTTCCTGGCTTTTTCTGTTGTGAAGTCGTGAGGGAGAGGCCACTGTCCTTCGCTGTAAGGGCTTTCGAATGCTGCATTTATTCTGTGCTAGGGACCAGGAGCCCTGTCCTTATCTGGAAGTGCTGGGTGTCTGTCTTTAGTTAGCGTTGGTTGGGAGTTGTGTGAGGGGAAGGTAGTCCTTCAGACTTCTGATGTGGTGGGACGCGAGTTGACATCTAAGTTTGGGAATGCTTAGGAACTGACTCCGTGTCGGGAGATAGAGAGGCAATGGCTCTGCCATGCCATTTCCATCAGCTCTTGGGAAAAGTCGCCTTCTTAGAAACAGCATTTCTTCCTTTCCAAAGCTCCGATGTTTCCCAGGTCAGCGTGCCGTGACGACTTCGGGGTCTGTCGCCTGTGGACAGTCACAACCCTTCTTAGGCCTGGTGTGCCATAGGACCCGGGCCGGAAGGTGGTGAGCTTGCTGCGGTCATTGCCACTGTTGCTCTGTTTTGCAGCTGTTCAAAGTTGGAAGACTTGCCAGCGGAGCAGTGGAACCATGCCACCGTCCGCAATGCCTTAAAGGAGCTGCTCAAGGAGATGAACCAGAGCACACTAGCCAAAGAATGCCCTCTCTCCCAGGTCGGTGTTGGGCCGGGGCAGCCACCGTGGGCTGGCGGGCGGGCAGTGGGCAGGCAGGGGCCTCCGCTGGGACCACGACGCCTCCCCTGCTGCTTGACAGGGAGACAGCGACTGCGGAGCTGGGGCCGGGAGCGGAGCAGCTACTGTCACGTGTGGGGTGCAGGAAGGGTCTCACTCGCACCGTCGCCACTTCTCCGTGCGTGCCGGGGAGTCCGCACCTCCTCTGTTGGCGGTGAAGCTGGTGCGGGGAAGCACATGGGTTCTCAGGCTGGGCCGCTGGCCAGGCGGGGGCTGCGGAGACCTGCCCTGATCCTTCAAGCCCTGCCCCGCAGCCTCGCCTCATCCCTTCATTTGGGCCACAGGCAGGTCCGCTGTGCGCCCCTCTTCGCAGGTTCTCTGGGCTCCTCCCCAGTGGGTAGAGCGATGGTCTCTATACTGTGTGCACCTCTGGGGAATTCACCCTACAAAGTGCCCTGAGAGGTCGGGCGGCAGTCCACCTGGAGCAAGCCCTTGGTCCTGATGGTAGGCGGGAGAGGAAGGGAGCAAGGCGCCCCAGGCCTGCCCTCGGCACATGGCCCTGTGTGGTGGAGCCACTCGGGCTGGCGCCTGTGTTCCTGATTCCTGAGGGCAGCGTGAGACAGCGCTGGCCTGTGCGGAGGGAGGGAGGCAGGTCAGTGTCGTCCGGCCAGGTGCTGACCAAATTGAGGTTGTCATGTGTCTGGGTATTTGTTTTTGACTTCACCTTTTAGAATTGTTACAGTGCGGAGCCTCTCCCCTGTGCCCTCTGCTCTGTGACCCACAGTACCCATCTTGCCCTTCGGCCACGCAGGCTCCCCATCCCATGGGCGGGCACAGGTGTCCCTCAGGTGGCCTTCCCTTGCCCTCTGGAAGCAAGACGAGCGTCCTGTGCATGTCTACTCTTCCTCAAGGGCAAGCTTGACACTGAGGGCCGCTGTGACGTGGAACCTTGGGGCTCAGGTCCCGACCCTTGGGCGTGAGCAGAGCTCCCAGGGTCCACGGGCCACTTCCCAGGTTCCTGCAGGCAGTGGCCCCCAGTCACGGAGCACTGCAGCCAAGGGGCGATCGCTCACGGGCGCACTGCTCCCGCGGCTCACCTGTGCTCCCTGGCGCAGGGCTGAGGAGCTCGTGCTCTATGTGGTCAAACACACGTGACCCTCCTCAGGCCTCCAGTGAGAAGCACTGAGTATGTTCAGTGTTGCACCCTTGCACCTGCATATCTTTCCAGGATACTTTAGTCACCCCCACCCAGAAAGGTGTGTGGCCCGTCAGCACCCACGTCCTGTCCTCCTCCACCAGCCCTGGGTGTTGCTGGATGCCTGTCTCTGGACGCCGCCATGGTGAAAGCACGGGACATTTGCCCGTCGTGGGCTCCTCGTGTGCAGCACAGAGAAGTGTGTCCAGGCCGCTCTGCCCCGCACTTCTGGCCGCGGCCCTGTTGCCAGATGCTTGAAGAAGGCAGGACTAACACTGCTGCCCGCGAGATGTCCCTGGGTTTCCAGGGCGGCTGCTGGTTGTGTTAGCAGTCGTGAAGAGATAGATCCGAGCACGATTACTTCTGCCGTCCTGAGCAAGCCTTCCCGCGGGGACAGCTGCAGGGCTTCTGTGTCCAGCGTGGCAGATGACTGGGCTGCCGCGTCAAGCTGCTTGGGGGCCGTGTCCATCCGTGTGGATCAATCACACACTGGCCACTGCCACCAGGCCACGGTTTGGTCTCAGGCTCACGTGTTCTGTGAGTTGAGGGGCCCTGGGCTATTTCAGTTATTGTCACCTGAGGTTGACTTTCCTAATTTTAAGTTTCCTCAGTCCGTGTTTGCAGTACATGGCGACAGCACTGACGGGGAGCTGGTGTGCGTCCACAGCAGTCTTCACCCCTTTTACATTCCTTCCTCCCCTCGCTCCCTCCCCTCTGTCTCTTGGCCCCTTCCCTTTTGTAGAAGCTCTGTCTCCATGTTTCCTATTGTCTGTCTTCTGTTTTGCGCTGTAATTTGTTTGTATTTGAGTGATTTGTACTCTGGGTTTCCCTCAAGGGAACCCTGTGATAGGTAGACGTGTGTGTCTGATGTGTCTCAGTTACGGCCGTGGCCTCGAGGTGCCTCCGTTTTCCTGCAGAGGACTCACGTGTGCCCTTCGCTGTGGCAGTCGTGCTCCATGCTGTGTACACGCCACAGCTGCTTTATCCATTCGACTGTGGATGGACCTGTAGGCCGCTTCCAAGATTGAGCTGTTGTGAGTGGTGCTGGAGTAAACATGGTGTGCGTGGGTCACCGTGTGGTGACAGTCTGGAGCCCACCCCAGTGGACTCAGGAAGGGGCTCACAAGTGACTGCTGGGGAGTGGTTCCTGACTCCAGCATCGCAGTGATCTGTTGGAGGGCTTGTGTGATGAAGGCCGGTCTGCAGCAGCTCTGGTGAGCCCCTGTGTGTGCCCCGAGGAAGTGCGGAGTCTTCCACTGAGAAGAGCAGAAGTTTCCCTTTGATGCTCTGGCAGAGAGGAGGAGTGGAAGGGTTAGGAGAAGGCTGTGGAATGGCTTCCAGTGGGCTCTCGCAGCAAAGCAGTTCCTCCCAGTTGGGTTTTCCTTCATCTACTTCCTTGAAGTATCATGGTGCCGTGTTAATATGCTCCTTAACACGTCCCTGAGCTACAAAGGAGCACAGAATGGGGCATCACCCATTGCTGTCTGCCACATGCTGTCTCCCCAACACAGAGCACAGAGGGTGGTCAGAAGGTGCCCACTCCCCAGCTGGGCACGGTGGCGAGCACCTGTAATCCTGGCACTTGGGAGGCTGAGGCACGAGGATCACAAGTTCAGGGCCAGTCTGGGCTACATGGAGAGTGCAAGGCCAGCCTGCCTGAACTATGCAGAGACCCAGTCTTACAAAAATAGATAAGCACCCTCTCCGGTTTGAAATGCTCGTTTCCTAGCTGATGTATCATGTCCCTACAGCTTAGCTAGTCTGAATACCACACTACTATTCAAACAAATAAATCCCATTAGGCTGAGAGGAAGGGAGTGGAGGTGTTTAGCTATTTCATCTTTCTTTTTCAGGAAAAGGGGTTCTCAGATCTCTGTCTGTCCAAGCATTTTGTGCAAATCATCTTCCCCATGTGCATGTTTTGCCTTTTTCCTATTATGCTGTGAATTGTCTTTAGATTTCTGACTCTGAACTCCTAAATTAATCGATGAAAGGAACACAAGGTCACAGCTTATGTTTTTATTTATTGATTGTCGCCTCGTTTCTTGGTGTGGGTGGAAGCCAGCTCTCACCCTGCGGCCGCCGGCGGAGTGGAGGTGGAGCGGAGATCACTGCTTCTCCTGCTGTGGTCGGTCTCCCTGCTTCTGAGATGGTGGAGTGAGCGGCCCTGGGCTCTTCCAAGGGTGACTTTGGACAGGGCATCTTTTCCACTGGGACCTCTGAGCCCTCTGGACATGGAACCATCTCATAACGATCACGTCGGACATCTCCCTGGGCTGCCTGAGAAACAAGTGCATTTGAATTTAAGTCAGAAACCTAAAAGAAAGTATATTTTTAGATGAAGCAGTCTAGCTAACATAAGCGTAGTCAGGTGGTGCTTGTGACGGTTGGACTGGAGACGAGGGTCTTCCTGTTTTGTCATCACTTTAAAACAAGGCAGAGAACCCCGCAAAGCAGACACAGCCCAGCGCCCGTCACCCGTTCTCCTGCCAGCTCTCAGATGCCGCGCAGTGTAAGAGCTGTGACACGGGCGCCACGTGCGGTGTTCCGCCGCCGTGGCCCCAGGCACCAGGAGGTGTCCCTCCCACTGCATCGCAGGGTTGTGCTGTGGTCCTCGTGGCCGCCTCGGCAGCAGGGTTCCCCTGTCCCCTCACTGTCTGGCTGCCAGCAGATTCCATCAGCTGTTCACCTTGGAGGAGCTGAGCCGATGCTGGAGATTTGACTCCTTAAGTACCTTACTTATTTTTAAAAGTTTACTTTCAAAGATATGGCGAACTGTGTGCCAGACCGGACACTTTTTATCCTCTACCCTCCACCCAAAATCTTCCTAATTTAAATTTCACAGTTATAGAAAAGTCTTAACTTGTTCAAAGATCTCTGTAGTTGGAAAGACTTCTTAAGCCTTCTTTTTGACATTGTAATACACAGTACTACTCATAAAACAGCACAGTGTGTGACTGTCTACGCTGTTTGTGGCCACACGCAGTGTCTGAGGGGCCCCTCAGTGCTGGCTGTGAGCCCCTCCTCCTGTGTCCCGCACTGCCACAACCCTGAGCAGAGTTGTGGTCCTAGCAGCCTCTGGAAGCGCAGGGCCTCGCTGGGGTGTCAGACACAGCTGCGCTCCTCTCTCCCAGGCTGTCGCACCAGCATTGCGTCACTGACGGCTACTCAGGAGTCGTTGCCGTGTCAGTTCCAAAAGTCCGCTCAGGCCTGCTTCACTGATCGCTGGGCTCCTAAAAGTCCAGCTGCGCGGTTGTTTTAGAGTGACTGGAATAGGTAAAGTGTTCAGACGCACTGCAACATCATACATACATTTTTTAAAGCAGTACATGGAATTAGGTACGTGTCTGGCAGGGTGGTGGGCAGGAAAGATTTTATCAGTGCACCTCCTCCCACGCAGTGCCTGTGTCTCACCAGGTCTGAGATGCTCGCGACTGGGCAGGAGGCAGCACAGCGCTCAGTGCTTGTCTGTAAGGCACAGGGCCCCAGGGCTCCGTCCCCAGAACCACAGGAAGAAAAGGAGGTTGAGACGAATTGTAAGCTGCATCCCTATAACAGGACGTTAAGTTATAAGACTCAGCCTTACAGCGCGTGAAGTCTGGAGCGCTCGGGGCCTCGGAGGACAGTGTTCCATAGTCTTCTAAAGCCGGCATCCACCGGGTCTGTGTTGGCCCTTTCAGCTTTGCACGTCACTACTTCAGTTTCGATGTTTTATACGAACTAATGGGCACCCACATTAAGATGATGGGTGCTGTGTTCCCTAGTATTTCCGAGAGGCCTAGGGATTCTGGCCGAGAATGGCGCAGTGAACCTGGGTGAGAGAACCGTGTTTGAAGCTGGGATAATCCGGTACACCATGACCTTCCGCTCAGACAGCCCGAAGATGCGCCTTCTCTGCTCCTAGTCTAACAACCCTCCGTGAAAGGCTTGGGGTGGGTGTCCACCACGAGTGGGGCCTGCAGGGAAGTCAGATGAGTAAGTGAGCTGTGGCGGGCCCTGGGAAATGGTCTCTACTGCACCCTGATCCCTTTGCTCAGCTCGAAGCTTGACGATATGTGATGTTCTGTTCTGGGTAGGATAGAAACTTAGCGATGATGTGCTTGATGCTGGGCCCCCAGCTTCTCCTTTGTAAATGGGTCAGAGCTGGGGCTGGGGTCAGTTTTCGTTTCCGGGTCCCCTAGGCTCAGGATGGTGCTGTGTAGTGCAGGTGAGACACTGAGGGAGAGGGTTCCCTGGGGCCAGCGTGGCCCCGCTTGGGGCGTGGGTGCCCGAGTGTTTGCTCTGTGGCTCTTGCCGTGCCTGTCCCTGTCCCGTGGCTCTCTGGAGCGCGGCAGAGCGAGGCCATTGTGGCGGCACTGTTCACAGTGCTTGTGCTCTGTTAGTGTCCTGTCTTGATATTCCATGTCCTGCTGAAATGTCCTCTTCTCAGGCCGGATCTCAGTGGCTCAGACCATTGGAACCAGCGGAGAGGGTGCGGGGGACCAGCCGGGAAGAGAGAGGCGGCCGGGCAGGGAGCAGTACCCAGCAGAGCCTGGGTGGAGATGCCAGGCAGGCTTGCAGAGGGCGGTGGCACCCCCAGGTGACACTGGCTCTTAGAGTTCCTAGCGCTGTGTCCAGACCAGGGAACTGAAAGGGTTTCCTCCTCGCGCTTAGACAAAAGGGTGTCATGGAGACACAGCGGCTGAGGGAGCAGCCATCTGCTGTGTAGACCGGGCCAGAGAGGGTTCTGTGAATCAAGCTAGGAACCCTGCCCCTCCACCCCTGCGTCCTGATTAAAAAGAGTTCGAATCTGGCATTTCAGCTGGGATCTACCAAGGCCCGTCTCTCTGCAGGCATTTGAACCTCCTGGTAAATAACTTGCCATCGACTTGATTTATTGTCATCCTTTTTATCTCTGCTACTTTGCAGAATTGTTATTGGAAGTTCCAAGATTTCTCTGAAGTGCTCCTTGTCTGGGGTTAACATTTTTGAGACAGATGAGATTTCAAGGCAAGATATGAAACCTGGTGCTGTTCATGTGGGCCCCTTGGGTTGTGTAGGCTCATTGCCTTTTAAACGAAATTTGCAGAAGTGCTCTTGGGATGTGAAATGCACACATGGAACGGCGCAGTCGGCTCAGGCGGGAGTGGACACCTCTACCCGTGCGGGCCCAGGCGGGCAGTGGGGTGCACGTGTATCGCGGTGGGGCCTGTCCTGCAGGCTGTGCAACTGTAATCTGTTTTTCAGGCTGAGTCGGGTTGTGCTTTCCTTCCAGCCCAAGTCCAGACAGATGGGTGCTGGGCCTGAGTCAGGAGGGCCAGGAGGATGAGGATGGGAAGGGTCTTGGTCCTCCGCCTCAGAGAGCTTTAGCTGCGATGCATTTTGGTTTGAAAGAGTACAAGTGTTAGGTTTAGTTTCCTCTAATCTAAAATAGCACTCTTAATTTTTTCCTTTGGTGAATTTTCACACAAGTGCTAATCACACGTTTCTATAAATGATATTAATTTAACTTATTTCCCTAAACGTTGTTCTGCAGCGTGTAGCACGGATGTTCTTGGATTCTTGGCTGCCTTGAGTGCTGCAGTTGGACGCGGAGCAGAAACATCTGAAAGGCATTACTGGCGATGGGCGCCGGGGCCTCTGGGCTCGCTCACCTTCGCTCTGCTCCCCCGTCGAGCGGAGCTTCCTCCGCCTTGCAGTCAGGCTGCTGCCTCCGCCTCCTCTCTGACACTGGCCCAGGGTTGGCTTTTCGGGGGAAGCACTGTCCTCGTTCATGTGTTAGCTTCAGAGCATGAGTTCAGGTCACCATGGCGTTGGCCGGCCTGGCTTGCCGGACAGCGACTGCTTCAAGTAGAAAAGATGCCGGAAGTGGGTGAGGGCTGTAACGCACTGTTCTGGTCCCCAGGGAGGAAGCTTCCTATATTTGAAACATAACCGAATTTTTTTCTTCTTTTCAGAGTATGATTTCATCCATTGTAAATAGCACATATTATGCCAATGTGTCAGCAACCAAGTGCCAGGAGTTTGGGAGATGGTATAAAAAATATAAGAAGATTAAAGGTAAAATGACTTCTTTGTCTTTAAAGCCTGTTACTTTACGGTCATTGCGTTGTTGGTTGTTTGTCATATATGCTAACTCCAGATATTGCCTGTCTGTATTATATTATAAAAGTAAGAATCTTAATATTTCTGTCAGGAGATGCAAATTGGCTCCCTTAAAACTGAGATGGTATTAGAACTAAAAGTAACATTCTTAGCATAATTTATCAAGTTTGTAGCTTTCCCTAGTGATACTTGTGAAGACCAAAATCCTTTAGAAATTCAAAAGCAGTTATTCTAGGCTACATCAGCGCCTAGGGTTTGACTGCTGATGAACGAATTGGACCGTCTGCCTCAGCGTCCGGAAGTCTGGTTGGAAGCGGTCTGGAGACTGTTTATGCGAGGGGGTCCAGAGAGCGGGTAAAGGAAGGGCGCCGCACCCAGGAGGCTCGTGTGCAAATCTGTTTCCAGGCACCAGTGCCATAAACTTGAGCAAGTTGTTTCATCTCACCAGGATTCAGTCTCCCTGTTGGAAAATCGGGAAAATACAAATGCCTAGGTCCCTGGGTAGCGTGAAGACTAAATAAGATAACATTGGAGTAAAATAACCTCTCAATAGACAATAGCCATAACGCTATAATAATAATAGCTGATTAATCGGAGGAGGACCGGGAGTAATGCATTACTGACTCTGGAACTGCGTGTGGTCCTGGATGACCCAGCCCTGGAGCACATTAGTGATGCTTGCTTTGCACGTGAGCTGAGTGCCTGCTGCTTTTCTGGTGACCCCAGCCAGTGGTGCACCTTTATAGCGCTGGCATTCCAGGGCCCTTCCAGTCCTCGTTTTGCATGGTTGGGTCACGGCTTGTGACACTCTACCACAGGTGCTCATGACCTCAGGGACAGCTTGTGCCCCTCTGAGGCCAGGACGCTCACGGGGGAGGGACGCAGGTTTCTGAGCCCAGGGTGCTACCCTCATACTTCTGGCAGTGGGGTGTGTGCAGACCCCTTCATGAGGTTACTTTCTGTGGAAATGAGCTTTCCGGGCCTTGGTGTCACTTCTCTGAAGACAAGGTAGTAAGAGCATTTTAGACTACGTACCCAATTTAAAAGGAAAAGCAAAATGTTGAGCTGCCTGGGAGAAGTTCAGTGCACTGACACTCGAATGAAGGTCTGTTCTGTGCAAAGTGTTCCTGGACCCTCAAGCCCGGCCGGCTCTGCCCTGGACGCGCGCGTGGGGGTACGAGGACTCACCTTGGCGGGAGGAGTGAGCGGCTGCCCACAGCCCGGCTGCGGGCTCAGAAGGCTCATTTCTGTAAGTGTTGTCTCCAGGTTTTTCTGTTACAATAGGATTGTTAAAGTGCTCGCACAGATCCCCTCTGGCTGAGAATGGAAAGAATCAAGCAGTTTCGAGGTCGTTCCTTAGATCCCATGTACTTGCTGTTCTAAGCAGAAGGAGGAGCATGTTGTCCTTTAACACAAGTCCAGATTCAGAGAAGGAGACCATCCACGCTAGTGCTTTCAGAATTGCCGCCGGGAGTGTGTGTGTGTGTGTGTGTGTGTGTGTGTGTGTGTGCGCACACGTGCCCACACGTGTGCACACCTTAACACGTGGTCTTCTCCTCTGCTTTCTTAGAGATTCACTCTTTCAAGCTCTGTTTTTTTTTTTTTTTTTTTTTTAAGATAATAAATGCACAGTTAAATCTTAACGTGCCATAAAAGCAGACTGAGGCCTTGGTTTCCTCCCGGAGGTCAAGGACCCACACCGAAGAGGCCGTCAGACGCTGCACATGGTATTCATGTGGTGCTCGCCCCTGAGCTAGAGCGCGTGTGTGTGATGCGCGTTGGTGGGAGGAGGAAAGGGAAGGTTAAGGTATGTGTGAAGTAAACACAAGCTGCCATAAAACAGTTCGAGTGTTGACTCATCAGCCAGGGGAGTGGGAGGGAAACAAAGGCCCGATTGCAGGTAGAGTGGCGCACAGAGAATAAACGCGAGAGGACTGTTTCGTTAACTTCCAGCCCCGGGAAGAGCGGACTTGTTTGGCCTGGAGAGGCCCCCCCTGTTTCCTAGGTGCTTCTCTCCATGAAGAGGTTTTGTGGGGAGGTCCTGTCCGCTGGCACCCGTTTCTCAGGGGAAAGTCATGGTTTGGTTGTAAAACCTGTGTCCACCAGTTTCCCAGGTGAACCCCAGCAGCAGTGAGCCTCAGATGTGCAGATCGGTTGTGCAGTGCCGGAACCCTCCCGCGGGCTCCTCCTGAGCGCCCCAGGGTCGGGGCCCCTGTGCCGTCTCCCACTTTGTCTTCCCACCCAGTTTCCGGTTTGTGTGGGGGGCTGATACTCAGCGTAGACCAAAGTCCCAAGCCAGCCCGCTGATGTCCTCCAGTAAACTCGGGCTACATTGTTAAATATGTTTCTTATTATCTGCTAATGTCTGTTTTAATAAAACAGTGGGAACTAAATGGTTGCTTCTTAATCAAAACCATGATTTTCTAAACATAAGCTATGTGATTCTGTTACAAATTGCCACATATAGATCTCCTAGGTCAAAACTTTTTTCTTTTCTCATAGAAATAAGTAAACAGTAAAATAATTATATACTCTGAAAGATCAAAGTAAATATGACTCAAACCTGGCAAAAATAAAAGTCTACTGGAAGGATTAAAAAAAAGATCAGATTGCAAATTCTATAGTTAATGCTTAAATAAATATGAGAAAAATGAACAATCAATAATTTGATATCATTAAAAACAGATGTAAAAACTATATACAAATGGAATTGTCTAAATTTTGAAGTAAACATTTTAATGTGCATTTTTTGAATTTGTTGTTATTATAGCTAAACTATTTACACTTACCCTTTAAAAAGTCCTAAATTGGTTTGGCTTAGCATGCTAACTTTATTTTCCTCAGTGATCACAGCAAAGCACATTGTGTTTACCTTTTTTTCTTTAATTTCAAAGACAATCAAGGTTGACACAGACATATTTGAGTTAACGTTGGCGTTACTTCAGGGTAGACGAGGAGACAGAGTTTGTATATTCTGGTTTCGGAGTCCAAGACCCTGAACCTGTTTCCCGGGAGTTTTTGATATTGAAGAAACCAGAGTGTGTGATGGATGGGTGTCTCGGTGCAAGGGGCTTCAAAAAAAATTTTTTTTTAATTGCCTCACATCTCATATTGTCCATTGCTTTGGGCCTCGATTTTAAAACAGAGTTTCATAGTCTCCCAAGTGTAAAGAAAATGATGTACATTTTATGTCATAATGGTTGCTTCTTGTTCGGGAGTTTCAGTGTTCGACACAAGGGAAAGTGTAGACTCCTAGGAACATTCATGCTATCACAGAATTATTTTTGAGGTCTTAGAATTAGGCAGCATTTACTCCATTGATCTCCCTTTCATAAATTCTACACATTTCATACGACAGTTATCTACTGGTAACCCCGCTGTGTCTTCTCATGAGCGCTAGATGTGAGCTTGCCCCCATTTTTATGACACCGGGGCATGCGTGTGGCACCTCACGCCCGGGTACACTCTGAGCCAGCCTGCTCCTACAGAGGCAGCAGAAACACGGAAAGGGCTCTGATGGAAGGTCTTGCATGTTTTAATGCATCTTAATTAGTAATTTTCAAATTATGATTTTGTATCTAAAATATTTCTAATTTAAAAATGTTTTTTAACCAAAGCATAGTGAATTACCGTGTTCTGTGAGGTTAACCTGTGTCCCAAGAATTAAAAAGGGTCGTTCAGAGTTCACACAAATCCTGGTGGCTGTTGTAATTATTTGTGTCATCAGTAATACTGCTGGGACAAGCGGACCTGGCCAAGCCCCAAATTTTGGCCAGGATGTAAAATCACTCCGTCATATCCCTGTTCTCAGTCCCTGCTCAGGAACCCCTGATTGCTAGTTTTCTTAATTTTATTTGTTTATTTGAGCTTATTTTGTGAAATATTAAAAAACCTGGGAGAAAGGAGGATTTTAAAAACCAGTGTTACTTCTCTGAGCCTGGTTTATTCTAGCAATCAGTATTTTATCTGACCCTGTCTGATCTAGTCTTGCAAGATCAAACGTCCAGGCCAGCAGGCAGACAGTAAACAAAGCCCATGAAGGGTTTCGGTAAACACAAAGATTAGATGTTGAATGAAAATTAAACTCCTTGAACTAGTCTTCTGTACTAAAGTGGTTAAGTGGGTTGTGATTAAAAGAAATAAGTAATTATGATCATTATAGCTGAAATGATATAATGTTACCACATTTAAAGCACCTCTTGTACCCAAAAATGATTGTGTCGTTTACAAACTGGTGCCTCAGCGTTGAGTGGCCAAGTCAACGTCTCCTGAGCTGGTTCCACGAAGCAGCTCCCACTGGGTCTGTGGGGTCGGCGGTTGGGACAGCGCCTTTAATCAGCTCTCTGCGCTTCTGCCTCTGTGCTGCTTAGCTCTGAGGAGATGAAAGGGACTTATTCCTGGGAGTCACAGAGTCACGCAGGAAATTCGCTTGCCCCCTGGGATCCACAGGAAGGTATTCTTCAAGGTAGTTTGTCTGCTCTAGGCTTGAACAGTACCTTGCTGAAAGTAATACCAGCTTCAGACCCTTTGAATTTTGTGTAAGTAGTGGACTCACGGACATAGAAACATCACTTCCTTAGCAGTCATGATCCATCTCCCTGGTGTTCCAAGCATGTTCTAGGCGTGCTTCCCTGGAGGCCTGGCCCAGGGAGAAGCCTCCTCCAGCGCAGGCAGCTGGCGAGTGCCCAGCTGGGCTGCCATGCTCGCCGGGGCTTGGGAAGCGCACTCCGGCTGCGCTGGGCACTGCTGCTTCCGCCTGGGTGCACTCTCTCACACGTGTTTAAGAAGTAAGGGTGATTAATTGCTAATAATGTGGTTTGTAGATTGCAAGAAAAACGTCATCTCATGCATATTATTTATAAGCCAGTTTAAATGCATGTTTTAAAAGGATGGAAAGTTACCTGTCCTCCTGTTTTTGTGGCCCCCAGCACCCAGCCGGCCTGCATACTTGCTCT